ATTTACATATACGTCTTACATAAATGGGATGTTTCTGTGCTTATTATTTTGAGACTTGTTTTTTATTCCTTAAGAATAGATCTCAGAGGGCTTTCTATGTCAGTGTATAGTATTTTAACAATTGCATACTATTGAATGGTAGGAATGTACTGCAGTTCAGGTGATAATCTGCCAGTAACAGACTTGTTTTTTCCAGTTTCTTACTCTTACAAACAGTGCTTCCATAAACAATCTTTACTTAAATTTTTGTGCACCTGTGCAGGTATTTTTTAAGGTTGATTTCCTGAATTGGAACTGCAAAGATCATATGGATATGAAATGACATAGACATTGCCAAATTTTGATCCCAAAAGCATATACCGATTTATCTTCTACCAACATAGTATAAGAGCGAATGTCTTTTCCCGCCAACATTAGATGTTTACAATCTTTTTAATTTTTGCTAATCACATAGATAAAAAAGGAATTATGTTGTTTATACTGGATTTCCATGAGTATATTTTCAAGTGTTTATTGGCCATATGAATTTCTTTATCTGTTAATTGCTTGTTCATATCTTTTTCCCTTAAAAAGCATATGAACAATCAATAATAAAATTATTTTTTTACTTCGGGACTTGTAAGAACTCCTTCTGTATTTTGTTATTGAGAATTTTTTCTGTTATACATAATATGTATTTCTTATATATTTTTCATTTTTCAACTTTTTGTCATTTTTGTCATAAATTGTTTCAATTTTCAAGTAAACACAATTGTCTACCACTTCCTTTAGAACATTTAGGCCTTCTTGTTTAGAAAGACCTTCTACACGCCAAAGTTATAAGATTATTTGGTTATTTTTATTATTTTTGTAAAACTTATTTTGCCCATTTACATCTTAGGCCAATTTGGAATTTGTTTTTATGTATACTGTGAACATAGTAACTAACTTTATTCTTCTTTCACAGATCAATAGCCAACTTTTCCATCACAGTGTATTAAACTAATCAATGAAACAATTTTTTTCATGACTTTTCTGCTGATTGGAAATGCAAATTTTACCACATACTGAATTAATATATTTCTTCTCTCTCTTTTGATCCATGGATTCATTGTCCTATTTGGCTAATCTGGACTATGCGTATTCTGGGGTTTTTCCTTGTTATTCTTTTATAATAGTTTTATCGAGATATAATTCACATATCATACAATCCTTCTATCTAAAGGGTATAATCCAATGGTTTGTATTATATTCACAGACTTGTGCAACCATCAACATAATCAATTTTAGGACATTTCATCACCCCCAAAAGAAACCCTGTACCTAAGAGCTATCATACTCATTCTCCATTTCCCCCAGGCTCATGAGTTTTAGGCAATAACTATTCTACTTTTCTTTCTTTACAGATTTCCTATTCTGTTCCTGTCATAAAAATGGAATTATATACTCTATGGTTCTTTATGACTGGCTTCTTTGCTGTAGATACTCTCTTTTTCATTTTTTTTAACGTCGTTTATTTTTATTGTCATATATAACATTGTATGAATATATCATATTCTAATTTATCCATACCTCAGCTGATGAACATTTAGGCTGTTTCCAGTTTTTGGCTATTATGAATAATGCTGCTATGAGCATTCATGTACATGTGGACATGTATTTTTACTTCTCCTGGATGTATAAGCGTATCAGTGGAATTTCTAGGTTGTATGGTAACTCTGCGTTTAAGCTCATTTTGAGAAACTGCCAGACTGGTTTCCACAGCAGCTGTACCATTTTACAATCCTACCAGTGCTGTACGAGGGTTTCGATTTTGTCACATCCTGGCCAACATTTGTTATTGCCTTTTTTTACTATAGCCGTCTTAGTGAGTGTAAAATGGCATTTCATTGTGGTTTTGACTTGCACATGGCTGATGGCGCTGAGTTGTTTATGTGCTGATTGAGTAAATGAGATGTATGAATCGGAAGAAAGCGTTCAAACACATCAGTTGTGGAGATGCATGACATAGAACCATGGGTTCCCTGTTGACTTTCATACCTGCTTAACCACAGCAGGATTTACGTGTTATGGAGGAATAAGGCGGGCCTGTTTTTAGTCTTCACAATGTACTTGTGGACCTTTTGTTTATACTCTTATAGCCTAAATATTTAAAAACACTGGCTTAAATATTTTGACTCTCTCTTTTTATTTTTTTTTTTTGAGACAGGCTCTTGTTTTGTTGCCAAGGCTGGAGTGCAGTGGTGCGATCACAGCTCACTGCAACCTTGAACTCCTGGGCTGAAGTGATCCTCTCACCTCAGCCTCTTGAGTAGCTAGGACTATAGGCATGCACATCATGTCCAGCCATTTTTTTAAATTATTATTTTTGTAGAGACAGAGGTCTCACTATGTTGCCCAGGCTGGTCTCAAATTCCTGGCCTCAAGAGATCCTCCTACCTTGGTCTCCCAAAGTGCTCGGATGACAGGTGTGAACCACTGCACCTGGCCTCAACTCATTTTTATTTGCCATTGCGTGCATTTCAATTAATAGATAAATACTAAAATCCTAGTTTTGTTGAAGTGACTTGCCCAACATACTGAATTTTCGAGAAGAAGAACACCACCAATGTTAGAATCTTTCTCTCTTTTTTAAAAATAATGACTTAAGGTCCCAGATACTTTCATAAGATCATTAAATTTGTCCAGTCCAGCAAACCTCAGGTAAGTGGTTTGATGGGTTTGAAGCTACCTTTTAAGGATAAACATTTAAAATAACTTAATGAAGGAGGTGTCATTCTCTAAAATGAAGTTTCAGGTATATGTATAAACTATTCACTTATGTTGTTAAATGTCCTTCAGTCATGGGCTTTTGTTTCTCTTAAGTTCTCTTAAAATACAATTTGCAGTTATGAGTATAGCTGTTAAGTGTTACTTCCCCTTCATCTTTTTCTAGTTCTCTTAAACAAACATTTTGTATGCAGGGCAAGGAACTTGGTACTGAATTCTGAGAGTGCCAAGTGTTGCAAGCTTGGTGGGCATTAAGGCAGATCTCTTCCTAGGACTTTAATGAGGGTTGTTTCTTCACCTGCTGGAGCAGATTCCCCATGCTACGTGCTACTGAGGCACCTGATGAATGCAGTGATGAATTTCTACCGCCTCAGATTGCTGAGTTTGGCAAATCTTTTCAACACAGTAAAAGTTGCTAAGCATCTCACCCAGCTGTGGCCTTTTTTTCTCCTGAGCAATACAGTGGGACATTATTCATCCTTTAGAAAAAGGTTATTAAAACATCCCACAAGGCAGTAAATTACATGGAGCAGGTGTCTCCAAGAGAAGACTAAACATCTCACAGCTAAACATGATGAGCTGGTACTAACCCCCGTTTCCTGGAAGCCTAATTTATTTCTTGTCTCTTAATTAAAATGAGGCTTTAGGCAAAAATATTATTGTAGTGGCCAGGTCTAATGACAATATAAAAATATTATTCTTGCTTTATCTTCTGAGTTTGATTGGAACAATTTTAGTAATTATATATCAAATTCTTCTCATAGCCTTAGCTATTGGATAGTTTTTTTTAAAGTATATTACCTCTAAGATTTAGAAACATAGAGACTAGGAAAAGCTGGGAGGAATTTTCTATAGTAGGATGGTTTGCTGAAGAGAGTTAAACCAGGTTTAGGCATCTCTCCTGGTTGAGCCTGAAATATTCCTCTTTTACTGCTTATCATGTTTGTCTTCTGAACAAGATGGTCTTCACTGGGAGGCCTGTCTGCTTTTTGTAACCCTGGCAGACATTGCTAATCAATCACAGATTTCTCTCATTATAAAATCTTTCTCCACATTAGGCCCCAGGGAGTCACTGTGAATTGGTCAAAGTTGTTATGCTTCCTGAAACTAATCTGCCTTTTTGGGTATATGTTTTATTGATGAAATGGTTCTACATCTAAAAAAAAAATTTTAACTGTTGATCTTCTAAAATTGCTTAATTTTCAGCATAAAAACAGAAGCTCAGACTCATCCCAGAACACAGCACAAGTTTGTGGCAGAATCGAAATTAGAATCATTGTCTTTTGTCTGCCAGAAGAATATAATATTATTTCTTTCTCCTGTCTTTATTTTCAGTACATCTCTGCAGCTGTCTATAAACAATCATCTCTTCTGAATGATCCAGTCCAAATACGAAATCCTCTCCCTTCTATGTAAATGGTCCACCTGGCAGACAGAGAGCAGTAATTAGTGAACCTAATGATTGTGCTTCTCCTTGAAATTCTCCCAGCTTAGGTACTTTGGTTAGCACACACCTTGTACCCACCTGACAAGAGGAAGATGGGGAATGGGGAAGTGAAAAGGACGAGGGAGCAAACTTGCTGAATATGGTATGCCAGGTAGTGCACATGTGTTGCCTCATCACACTCTGACAATAACCCCACAAAGGAGGTTATAACAGAGGCAGAAAAGAAACATCCCTTACATCACATAACTAACAGGTACCTTCTCTGGATTTGACCCCAAGTGATATTATTCCAAAGCTTATGCTTTTGAAAATTTAAGAAATGTACAGATTTATTTTGAGGAAAATAATCTTCCATAATTCTTGAGCATACGCCACAAATCTCCTGGATTCCTTGGAGCCCAGTTTGTGAAATACCACATTAGAAGTGAAGTGCTACCAGTTGGAGGAGCAAAATAGCGAAGTAGTTACGAGCTACCAACTCTGAAGCAAGACTGCCTGGTTGAGTTCTGACGCCAGCATGTTTCTGCTTTGTAAAATGAAGCATGACACTTGATGTCCCTGTGCCTGCTTCCTCATCTATAAAATGCATATGTTAATAGAATCTACCTTGTAGGGTTGATGTGAAGATAAAATGAGTACATGCATTCAAAAATACATAGTCTGGTATCACCCGGTGTAGAGTTAAAGAAATCTGTATGTTGTGCTAGTATGTAAACTGTAAACCAAATGAAAACACAGAAAACATATAATCTGAGCTGATAATCTCAGATTATACATATATTTGTATAGTATTAACAAAATTTTAAAAAATGCATTTGTAAGCATTCTGATCCCTGGGAATGTATCCACCGAGGCTAAATTGAGAAATATTGCACTTTAGTACTTCCTGCAAAGAATGATTATCTGTTAAAAATATTGAGTGAGCCTTGGCTCCTACTATTAATAGTGAGGCTTATATAATTCACAACCTCTTGTTTATGAATGTGAGAAAATTCTAAAGAGGCATAGTTGAGCCAGGGAGACTATTCTAGTTTGCTACAAACATGTATAACCCTATTTAGTGGATAGATTATGAATTATTGCTTATTTGCAGACATGAGCTTGAGCCCAGTATTGACATAAATTCATAGCCCGAGGGAAAGATACAGATTTTAGGATGCTAGTCATGGAGTTAGAAGCAGAGCCCAAATTCCTTGTCTTCCGTTGCAGTCCTGAATCCTAAATTCTTTTCTATGCAAACTTTCAAGTTCTTTGTCACCGAAGAGATATGGGTACTTTTAAGTTATACCAGGTGTATATCTTAAATCCAATCAAAAGCAGAAAGCATTTTACCCACCTTGGAACAATTGATGCTTATAGATCAAAGAAAAAAGAAATAAGAGGAAGGCAAACAGGCACGAAATTATCCAGCAAACAGCATCCTTTGCCTCCTCTCCGGTGATCAGCTCTCCTGGTTCAGACTTTTTGTACTGAAGCGCACTTGCATCCAGGAGGCAACTGGAGGGCACTGGGAATTTTTTCAGGGACAAGTAGCTTGTTGATGAAGGAGGGCAAAGTTGGAGAAAATGCTAGGGAGACAACAGAGAGACAGAATAAGTGAGATGGGAAGGAAAGCTTCCCATCATTTCCTTCTGATCAATCCAATCAGCAAGCCAGAGGTCATGAAGTAGAAAGACCCCCGGGAAACTGAACAGTACAATTACCAAATGATGAGATGTGATTCAGAAAGCTAGTATCTTCCCTAAAGGCTGAAGCCAAATGACTTGTTTTAAACAGTCAGAAAGGAAGGGCATTGCTCTTCGTGTCTTCCTTTTCAAGTCCATAGTTATTATGCCTTTTCTCGCTACCTTATAAGGGCGCTTGTTAAAAATTCAGGAACAATGCCAGCTACCAAGGTAGACAGACCTGGAGTATATGACAAATAAAGTAATCTAGCACTATTATTAACAGCAGGCATGTTGCTCCTAGGCTATTTTATGGCTCATTTTGAATGCATCATCTCTATCCAAAAAAGGGAAATGTGATTCTCATGTCTAGGGCAGTTCCAAGAGTCTACAATGAATGGGGTTTCTCTGACAAAGCAATCAACTTTTCCATGGTTGGCAGGTGAGTAAATTGGGTTTTACTAGGCGTTATTAAATATGGTTTTTGGCTGATTTACTACCTGCTAGGTTTCCATGGAAGTTGAGTATATAATACACCAGGCCAACAACATTAATCTTTTGTTCTTAATTCATTGCTGTTTTCAACGTGGAGACAGAAGCAGTAGCACCGATGTTACAGGAAAGCCGTTGCTAGCTCTCCTCCTTTACATGTGTAAAAATATCTGTGGGAGACAGGCAGCACCCCAGTTCCTGGGGTTGTGACGGAGCCTGTCGGGACTCCTTCCTATTGAGATGCACAGCGGTCTAGGTGTTCCCTAGGCAGGCACCCATGGAATCTTTGGCTTTTCCTGAACCTAGCCCAGCTTGACCCCTCTCTGGACTTTTGCATCCCTGTCCCTCAGCAAGTCGCTGCCTAACTGGTGGAGCTCCCATTGTCTTGATGAGAGGGCACCATTCCTGCATGGAGGGAGGTTTGCATGGCTGCTCCTTCTCCTGATAAGGACACTGAGCTTTCCTTCCTTTCTGTGGCTCTGCTGCCCTCAAATCTCTCCTCCCCTTTGCAAAGTTGCCAGTGCCAAGGAGGAGGATAAAGCTAGAGCAGGTGACCCACCCACTCCTAAGGATCACAGTGGGAATCCCAACCTGCCTCTCAGCTCTTAAAGCTGCTGCAGTTTCCATAGGAAGCCCTAGCTGCTCTGGACATCGCTTCTCAAGACCACTGTCCCAGTGTGGCTAGGTTGATCCTCCAACCTGACTCAAGCTCCCAGGCTTCTGATACCCAAAGCCTGTGCTCTGGAAATCATAGTCACCACCAGCACCTCCTCCCTCAGCATCAGCTCCTGTTGGATGGTCCTTTCATTCTCCCATGGTGAAACAGACCTGGCCCTTCCTGGGGCCGCTGCTTCCCCTACGTGGCTCAAGTTGGCTGTTCTCCACAGCCTTTCCACCATGCCTGGCCATTGTTGGGTGTGTGTGTCGGGGGTGTCTTTGCTATTTATTAGCATTGATTCTCCCTCCTCCATAAACATCCCAGTTCCCCCATGCCCAGTTGTAATCATTTATAGGCTCTTTGCCTCATTCATCAAAAGTTTGAGTGCTGACTCACTGTCATCATTTTTGGCAGTTTCAAAGTCACATACACACTTCATTGACATCCTCATCCTTGCTAGTGACCTTGTCCTCTATCCCATCCCAGCCACCCATTCCTCTGCCCTTAACCACAGAAACGCCAAAATACTCATTTCAAACACTCTGCTTTCTGACTACCACCTCCTATCTTTCCAGGTCACTCCTGCCCATGGTCTGAATCTAACAATTCTTTGCCCACTAGGACACTAATCAGTACCCCTACTGCCTTAAATTCCCATCATTTTTTCACTTTCCTTTTTTCTCAGCTTACAGTCCATCCCATTAATCACTCCTGTACATACACCCTCAACAATGTGTCTTTCTCTTGTAGAATCCTTGAAAAAAGCTAGTTAAAGTCAGGTATACTGAATCTGCATCTGAGCGATTGACTATGGCCAGAGTGAAAGAATAACTGGATAAACTGGGATCAACTCAAGTTTATGACCAGACATCAAGATGGGTCCCTCAGGACTGTTGAGAGACCCAGCCCCTAGTCAATTCACTTTCTTACTCCCTGGGACCTTCTGTTCTCTCCTTCAACCTCTAGCACCTTGTTCTCACCTTTATTCTCAGCCAATGATCTTGCTTCCTATTTTACTGAGAAAGTAGATGCAATTTGAAGAAAATATGTACTCTATAGCCACGTCCACCAATTTAGCTCTCTCAGATGGTGTACCCTGCCTGGTGGACAGCTGTGTCGGCCCCTTGTGAAGCCAGACCCTGAATATGTGCACTGGTTCCTGTCCTCTCTGGCCTGTTCTTTGCTTATGCAATCAACTCTTTTCTCTCCTGCATCAAAGCTCTTCCACCTGCTGTCTCATTCCCATCAGCAGACAATCACTATCCTTTCTCCCATCTTTAAAAAGAGCTCCTTTCCAGCAATTGCCCCCACTGAATCACCCTGGAGAAATTCTCTACATTCACTGGTCTCTCATTCTCTTTTGAACCCACTTTTATGAGGTTGCACCCGCCAGTGCCCTGAAGTGATGATCAATGTTACCAACAATCTTCACACACGCATAACCTATAGTTGACTCCTGAGTCTTTTTCTTTTCTGATATTTTTTTACTTGGTTTCTGGAACATTCTACCTTCTTGGTAGAGTGTTTACCTACTTCTTCACAGCATCATTTTTCTGGATTCCTCTCCCTTTCCTGACCTCAGAACGTTGGAGGGCCCCTGAGTTCTGTCCTTGGGGCTCTTCTCGTCTCCATTTACATAAAACTTCCGTCAGAACCGTAAATGCCGAAGTGTGACACCATCTCTTCATGAACTTCTGAGGAACACTTCAGCTGTGTCTAGTAGGCATCTTAAACTTTACATACTCTATACAAATAATTTGATTCCCCAACCCCCTGGCCGCAGCAACCTATTCTTCCTCCCCTATTCTTCATCTCAGGAAATTGCCATAGCATCTTCCCAGTTAAACAACAACACTTAAAGTCCCTGATTAAGGTGAGTGTGTATCCTAATTTACCCTGTCAGTCTTTTTTTTTTTTTTTTTTCTGAGATAGAGTCTCGCACTGTCACCCGGGATGGAGTGCAATGGCATGATCTTGGCTCACTGCAACTTCTGCCTCCCAGTTCAAGCAATTCTCCTGCCTCAGCCTTCCAAGTCGCTGGGACTACAGGCAGCCACCACCACACCTGGCTAATTGTTTGTATTTTTAGTAGAGATGGGGTTTCACTATGTTGCCCAGGCTGGTCTTGAACTTCTGATCTCGTGATCTACCTGCCTTGGCCTCCCAAAGTGCTGGCATTACAGGTGTGAGCCACCGTGCCCTACCTTGTCAGTCTTTGAACATCCCTTTTAACTGCCAAAAACCTTGGTTTGCATAATAAATTATAGAGTCATGCTTCCCTGGTTCTTTTTTGCTTCTATCTATCAGCATTCCCTGTTGAGTCCTCACTCTAAATATATTCTGAATTTACCCACGCCTCACCACCTCCACTGCAACCACCCTGGTTGAGCCACAGTCATCTGAAGTCTTGACTGCCGCTGTGAATGACTAACTGGTTTCTCTGGTTTCCTTTTGCTCCCAGTGGTTTATTTCCTACACAGAAGCCAAAGTGATCCTTCAAAGAGTTTGCTCATGGCATTCCCTCTGTTCAAATCTTCCAATGGCTTCCCCCTGCCGTGAGAATGAAAACAGATATGGCCCAGCCACCTCTTTGACTTCATTTATCCCTCTTGTTCCCCACTTCCAGACCCACATGCTGTAACTGTAATAAGTTCATTGCCCAGTGTAAACAGCAGGTCAATACACTGAGACACTGGGTTGCAGCAGAAAAAGAGATTTAATGGTAGGGCTGCCAAACGAGGAGATGAGAAGAAACCTCAGATTTGTCTCCAGGAATTTGGGCTTAGGGTTTTTATAAGTTTTGGAGTGGACCAAAGTATGAAGATGTTGATTGGTCGAAGAGTGTGGGGTGAAGTCATGGGAAAAGGAGAGGAAGAAACTGCATTCTCGTGCTGATTCAGTTCCTGTGAAAGTCTTTAAACTGGTAGTTGCCAGCTGTTCTGCTGAACTTCAGGATCTGCCTAAGCAATTATTAAACAAAAAACCGAATTCTAATGTCGGGAATTTTATCCATAGGAACAATGGGGATTTGAATTGTCAATATCTAATGCTTTGTGACTTTGGTTACAAGGAAATGGGTTAAAGTGCAGCCTGATTAATGCTTCATTATAACTCTATTTTTGTACAGAATTCTTGTTAACCCTGTGAAGATGGCTTCAGTGCCTCTTAACTCTTCCTAAGCCACATCGTCTCACCTGGGGTTTTCTGTGTTTGCTGTTCCTTCTGCCCAGAAGGCTTTCCCCCAGCAATCAGCATGGCTTGGATGCTCACTTTATTCTGGTGTCTGCTTACATTTTGTTTTGCAGCGACTGTTGCCAGGTCCCTCTCCACTGCCTTACCTGGCTTTGCTTTTACTCAGACAGCTTGCTGTTCCCCGTCATTGTAACGTGCTTGCGTCTCTCCCATTGGTATACATGCCCCATGCCAGCTCTTTCTCTTTTGCCTTCCACTAGTTTATTAGACCCTGGAACAATGAGAAGCATACTCTAGTACATATTTTCCAGTAAATACTTACTGAAAAAAATTAATGATTGGTTGAAGGGATGAAGCAGATCTCTTTTATTTAATTAGTTTCAATAATCTGCGTGCCAAGCAGTTTACTCTCATATTTAGTCCTTTTAAAAACAGTGTGGCTACTGCTATCATCCAGATTTTACAGACAAAGGAATATAAGTGCAGGGAGGCCAAGGACCTTGCCCAAGGTCACTTGACTGGTAAATGGCTGAGATGTTTTTGATTCCAGACGAGCTGAATCTAGAGGCCAGGTTCATCACCATAATGCTATACAGCCTTCCTAATGTTATCAGGTCACAAATTTAAAACACTAGGGATTTTCACAAGGGAGAGAGCCTGACGGTTTGTTGCAAATGGCGACTTTGTTTCATTTCTGTCTTCTCCATGGAATGTATACATCCTGAGAGCAGAGTCTTTGCTGGATGCGTTTGTTGACTATGACTAAGCCCTGGCTTCCCTCAGCTTCTTCTTCCCAAGCCACCATGATGCCACACAACACCTGCAGATGTAGCCTCTCCCTGAGCCTGGGCCAAGAGCCCCACCCAGGGCACCGCAGAACAACAGCCAGGGCCTCTGGTTGTGTTCATCCTTCTTGGCAGTGCCTTCGAACACGGAGCGGCCAGCTGGGCTTCCTACTCCAGACCACTGTGAACAGCTCGTTAGCTTATCTGGTCCTTCTGCCTTGGCCACTGGCTTAAGTGTCTGGCTTCTAGTCATGTGCTCAGTGCCTGGTCCAATCTCACAACCATTCTGGGAATAGAATACCCACATCTGCACACCCAGCCACCAGCCAGATGACCCAACTTCCTTACCCAAATCTAGCAGCTTCCTTGCTTCCTTTTCTCCCTGGGCTGACACTCGCTCCACTGTCTCTAACGCTGAGGTCTGTGCTAACTGAAAGCTTTCTAAATCCTCTCCTCCTGGAAAGCATTCTGGACTGCAGACCTCATCCTGGATTGGGCTTCCGTTATTTTTACTGTTGTAACAACATTCTTATTATTGTTATTTGTGATAATATATAATGCAGCCAATTTTATTAAGCACTTCCCATGTAGTATTTCCAATAATTTTCACAATCACTTTGTGAGAGGGGTACTGTTATCATTCCCATTTTAAATTGAGGAGAAATCTGGAATTTAGGGCGATAAGTAAGGTTAAACCCCAGATCACCCACTTGGCATGCGGCAGAGGTGAGATTCAAACCTGGGTAGCCTGGTTTCCAAAGCCACTTCCCTACTCCCAAATACCCTTTGCAGGGTGCTGGACTGATTTGCCCCAGCCACCTGAGGGCTTCTCGGGAAGTCTGGTTCCATGCTAACTCAGCATTGGTTTGTGCTTGCATCCTCCTGTTTTGGGTAGCAAGGGAGGTTCCAACCTGGATCCCAGGCCAGATACACAGACTGTGTGCCCTGCGCCTGGGCGGACTGCCTAGCCCTGGACTGCTAAGGTTGCCTCATCTTTGATTCCCACATACTGCTGGATGCATAGAAGGTGCTGGAGAAATTTGGCTGAATTAATCACCATTGGCTTGTTAAGAGCATGCCATTGGAGGGAAAATTATTTATTATAAAACAAACCTGAAAAGGGAAAGGGAAGCCTGAGTGCTGGAAGTGAGACACAAGATTGGAGATAAGGGAAATCGAATTGGAAGAATATCCACAGGAAGGAGAAGAAAAGCATCAGGAAGCTCCATAAATCACAGCAGCAGTATTTTACCTACATTGTCCTTTATGTCCCTGGCACCAAACAATTTATCATTCCCATTTCATGCTAAGTGCTACAAAAATAGCAATTGGCCCAACATTTGAAGGGGAGACAGCAGTTTCGAAATAATAGCAAAACGTGAAACTATCTGAATTCCGGAATTTTCTGTAGAGCCCTCTCCGCCCCCACCGCCAATTGCAGGTGTCTTTGTCCTGTGTGGAAAGAAAAAAGTCAAGAGTAACAGACCTAGAAGGGAGGGGGAAGTTTTCCTGATACTTAGTGGCGAAGCTGAATGTGGGTTAATCTCGCTCTTGCATTCCTCTATTTCTGCCCCGCATAAGGCTTTGTAGCCAGAAAACCCAATATCACCTTCCACTTCTATTGTAGGGTGTGGGGGGTGTTGAGAGGGTAGGTGGCGGGTGTTTGGTATTGGTGGGTGGCCCAGAGCTGAGCTGTAACATTTCCAAAGCTAGCAAGGGGGGCGGGGGTGGGGGAAGGGAGAGGAGAGGGTTTGATGCCTTCACAAAGCCTTAAAGGCAAAAGTACTTAGAGAAGAAAGCTTTTTAAAGCAATGACTATATAGCACTCCCTGACTACAGGTCTTTTCAGAACTCATTGAGTGATTAGAGCTTTAACTCATTATTTAGAAATAAATACTTGGAAACCACTCTCCAAAGCAGACACTTTAAAATCCACCATCATACCCTCAGAATCTTATTCATACTTGAAAGGAAGGATTACTTTTTCCTTTGAAAAGTAAACTTTTCTGTCAACAAATAATTACAGCCAGCACATTTCCAGTGGATGAGATTTGGGAAGCCCCTCATTTCTTCCCCTTTGCTTGCAGTCATCTAGCAAGGACTGAACCAAAGAACCCCAGCTCCGGCCAATCAATCACACTTATCATCAATTTTCCAGCATTTAATATGTCCCAGAGATTATCCTAAGAGATTTACACAAAGAATCACACTTAAAGCTCTTGCGTTTAAGGATGAAGAAATTGAGGCCAAGAGACCTGGCTGGAATCCAAACTGAGGTTGGTCAGATGCTACAGTGCATCTCATGAATCATCACCATCAATGGGAGACCATGCCGCCAGGATGGAAGACAAGCGGGGCATCCAACACGGAGGAGTAGCCCACCCCACCCAGTGGCTGGAGCGTTTCCAGGCTGCTCCACTCGGCGATGGAGCCGAAGACAAACCTCTGATGGCCGCTCAGCTTGCTCTTTCTCTGGCCGCTCAGCGGCTGCAAAAGTAGGCAAAAGGCAGAGGGAAAACACTGAGCTGTCCCTGCACTAGGACAACGCTGGGCTCGCCTTTAACAGGAAGGGCTGCCACGGTCCTCCTGGGGTCTGCCCCTCCCCAGGCCCATCAAACACATTTCCTATTACATGGGGGCACGCTGAAGTTTACAACTGCACTGCCTCCCCAGCCTCATGCTCTGCACAAGCGGGAAGAAAATGATACCTCGGGTAGGAGATTTCTCTGATCTCTTTCTCCCTAAGTGTTCTGCTCAAAATAACAGGTCTGTATTGCTCAAGAAGGTGCTTGCCATCGCGCCTGCTCCAAGCGCATGGGCAGTGTTGAGGGGATGTCTTGCCTCTGACCTCAATCTCATTCACCAGGTCCTATCTCACCGGGGAAATGGACAGCTGAGCTGTCTGAGCCTTTTATCAGGCAGCAGGTAGGAAGGACGTCTGTGAAAGCGGGAGGAGGTGTCAAAGGATGGTGTCCTCAGGGAGCCAGCATGTCTAGAGTCGAATGCCACATGTTTTAAATCCGGAGACCCAGGCTCACATCCCTCTATTTTCCTGCAAAGCTCCAGCCATGCCTTCCAGTCCTAGTCCTTCTGTCTGCCACCTCCTTGCTGCCGCTCTGGGCCTGCCTTCCTGAGCCCTTGGAGGCTCCCAGTTTATTTGCAAGGATGCTCCTTTTTTCTTCCAGAGCATCAGGATGTGCTCTGCTCTGTCCTTCCGGCACCACTAGGTTAGACTCTCTTTGAGAGTGGCTGCCCTCCTTGCTCCACAGTTTCTAAGAACTATGCATCAACCACTCCCCTTGCTCCCATGTTATTAAGTGCACCGTCACTGCCCTTACTCCTCCGCAGCCGGCTGGGCAGGGGTGACCTCCTGACACACTCCAGAGGTCCTCTCTGGAGCCTTTCTCCAGCTGTGCCCTCTGCACGGGGAAGACGACTACAAGGCCAAGAGAGCTGCCTAGGGGACCCTGTGCCAGCTCCCACCAGCACCACACTGCAGAATTCCTTGCTCAAATGTCCCTGAGTCCACTTTCATGGCCTGCCTGGATCTCATGCAAGAATGTCTTCCTGGGCAGGCTCTGCTGCCCGCATGCTCACCTCCAGGCACTGTGAGAGGAGCTGAGGGTGGCTGCTTTGGGGGCATAGACAGAGCCTGGCCATTAGGGCAGTGGGGTTCATATGGGGGAATGGGAGCACACTCGTGACACACAAAGAGCCAAGTGTGGGAAAAGAACTGGGGCTGGCGGCCAGGGGAAGGGAAAGATGAAAATTTGAAATTTGAACCTGATCTTCCAAGTCATTTTTAAATTGAGATTTAACTCACATACCGTAAAATTCACCCTTTGAAGTGTCCAATTCAATACTTTTTAGTGTATTCACAACATTGTACAACTACAATGAGTGTCTAACTCCATAATATTTCATCATCATCCCCCTAAAAGAAATAACCCACACCAATTCGTACTCACCCTCCTGGAAATCTTTCTAGCTTTATAGATTTGCCTAATCTGGACATTTTATACAAATGGAATCATACAATATGTCATATTTGGGGTCTGGTTTCTTTCACTCAGCATAACATTTTTAAGATTCATTCATGTTGTAACATGTATCCATACTTCAATAGTGGCTGAATAATATTCCACTGCACCACATTTTCTTTATCCACTCATTAATTGGTGGCCATTTGGGTTATTACCACTTTTTGGCACTTATGAGTAATGCTACCCTGAATGTTCATTAGCTTTTAGATGGACACGTGTTTTCAGTTCTCTTGGTACATACCTAGGAGTGGAATGGCTGGCTCATGGTAATTCTAAGTTTAACTTTTGGAGAACTGCCAGACTCTTTTTTCAAAGTGATTGTAGCATACTTTTCTTTCCTACCTGCAATGCGTAAGGGGTCCAGTTTATCTACATCCTGGCCAATACTGGTTATTGTCTGTCATTTTGATTGAAATTACCCTACTGGATATACAATGGTATCTCATTGTGGTTTTGTTTGCATTTCCTTAGTGACCAATGATGCTGAGCATTTTTTTATGTGCTTTTCGGTAATCTGCATATTTTCTTTGTAGAAGTATCTCTTCCAATCCTTTGCCCATTTAAAAAACTGGGTTGTGTTTTAATTGTTGGGTTGTGGGTGTTCTGTATATATTCTGGATACTAGACTCTTATCTAGCGTATGATTTGCAAATATTTTCTCCCATTCTGTGAGTTGTGTTTTCACTTTTTTTATGGTGTCCTTTGAAGCACAGAAGTTTTTAATTTCGATAATGATGTCCAACTTACCTATATTTTTCTTCTGTTTTTTGTGCTTTTGGTATTACATCTGAGAACCATTGCCTGATCTAAAGTCATGCCAATGTTTTCTTCTAAGGCCAGGCCATCTTAAAAGTAAAATTGTCAAGATGAGGGAAAAACTTATTTAATCTTTCAGCTTGTTAGCAGAATTAAAAATTTATAAACTTTTTTTTTTTTTTGAGACGGAGTTTCGCTTTTGTTACCCAGGCTGGAGTGCAATGGCGCGATCTCGGCTCACCGCAACCTCCGCCTCCTGGGTTCAGGCAATTCTCCTGCCTCAGCCTCCTGAGTAGCTGGGATTACAGGCACGCACCACCAGGCCCAGCTGATTTTTTGTATTTTTAGTAGAGACGGGGTTTCACCATGTTGACCAGGATGGTCTCGATCTCTTGACCTTGTGATCCACCCACCTCGGCCTCCCAAAGTGCTGGGATTACAGGCATAAGCCACCGCGCCTGGCCAAATTTATAAACATTTTTACACATGGTGTATGGTCCTAATCATTACATGGTCTCAGGCCGTGTAAAATTTACGGCGGATCTTGACGTTCCGTAGCTGGAATGACCATGGTGTCCTGAAGTGATGGATGTGTTCATTTTGCTTTCTGGCTCTTCCTCAAACATCCTGTCCTTGCATTTATTGTGTAGGAAATTTCTCACCTGTATGTGACTATGCCCTGGCAGACAGTGTCTTCTCCTAACCATCATCATGGTTCGGTTTTATAATACCATGATCTAAGTTTTGTAATACCTATTTCAATTTTAAAGCCAAATGCCTTCAGTCCCACTTACTATTTATATTTTAACATAGATGGCTCTAATTTTGACGTGAGCTCAACGACTCCTTTTTAGATCAATACATAAACTTTCAGGCATCCACTGAGCAGAAAATGCAGAAAAGTCATAATGATGGTGTTGTCTGGGATGCCTGCTACCTGGAGAACTTTGGAGCTTCAAAGTAAGGTCCAGAGCAATGAGTAGGCCAAGTTGCAGAGAGGTAAACTGAGTCACAGAGGAGAAAAGTGGCTGTGTTGGAAGGATGTAGGTAGCAAGAGTTTTAGGCCTGTAATAGAGTCAGAGTTAGAGCTGCAAGTACAAGGCCAGCTGTCTCTGAGCTAAGAGAGAGCCTTTCGCATGCTGCAGGGCCTTTCCCGGTGCCACGGCAGCTTCACATCTTGCTCCTGTGCCTCTAACCCTGCCCCATGCTCCTGCTGTCTCCTGTCTTAGCCAAGCCCTGGCTGCTGCTTCCTCTAAGGTGTTGCTACCTGCTTCTCTCTGGGCTTCACATACTTATCTCGCTCTCTGTCGCTTTTTAAAATCAATGGTCACATAAAGTGAGGGAAGCTCCAGATAATCTTCTGTGGACAGATTTTGCAGAGATGGCAGTGGCTGGGTGAAGACAGGTGCTTGAAATTTTCAATTCCCATTTCAGTCCACTTCCTATTGAACAGGTGTCAAGGTCACAGCACGTTGCTGCCTCTTGGTACTAACCTCATTTCCTGTTGTCTGAAAAGGCAGGCATTAGATGGGCATAATGACAGAACTGCTCATTGTAAAACATTGACCAGGCTGGGTGCAGTGGCTCAAGCATGTAATTCCAGCACTTTGGGAGGCCGAGGCAGGTGGATCATTTGAGGTCAGGAATTCGAGACCATCTTGGCCAACATGGTGAAACCCTGTCTCTACTAAAAATGGAAAAATTAGCCAGGCATAGTGGTGTGCACCTGTTGTCCCAGCTATCCGGGAGGCCGAGGCAGAAGAATCAGTTAAACCCAGAAGGCAGAGGTTACAGTGAGCTGAGATCGCACCACTGCACTCCAGCCTGGTGACAGATGAAGACTCCGTCTCAAAAAACAAAACAAAAAAACACTGACCAATGTTGTAGGTGGCCAAGTTCCATCAAATTCTTACATAAGCTGAATTATCAGAATTGAGGAGCTTAAGTCCAGTCGTTGTTCTTTCTTAATGGGGTCTTCACAATATGCATTGTTTGTGCACAGGATTTAGATATAAATGAGGACTGGATAAGCATAACTATGGATTTTAATTCAGTTGATTTTGGCTTTTGGAAGTAATTGTTCAGTTTTAACATCTAGAGTGACTATCAGATGCAGATGAAGAAGGAATCAGAATTCTAAGAATTGTCCTCCGATTCCAGTCAATTATTTAATTGTGAAGAATTTATCGCTAAGGAATGGCAAGCATAATCCAGGGGAAACAGCAAAAGTTTAAACGGCCTGGTCAGTGTGGCCAGTGCTGGCCTTGGGGTACTCCCAACGCAGAAGCCAATTTACAAGCTTGATGCACAGAGGAACTTCTCCTTGCTAGCTGAAGAGTTAAAAGTGGGGAGACATGCAAACCCCCCAGTGTACTGAGGAAGGCATGTAATTGAAGTCAGAAGATGCCTTTCCTCAACCCAGCCCGTCCTGCGCAGGTGGCCCCATCACCTCCTTTCTCCATTTGCACAACAGACCCTTTATTTCATGCTGGACAAAGGTCCAGGAATGGGAGCAGCAGTACAAGATTATAAACCATCCATTTTCCAGTGCTAAGTAACTCAGATTTGGGACTCTCAGTAGTCTGGCTGCAGAGTGGTATAGTCTATCAACAAGTTAATTTTCTTCCCATTTAAGCAAAGAAAAAAAAAATCTTTTGTACTTAGTGTTTAGTTTAATGTGTCAGTTCAAACTTTGATCTTCCAAGAATAGATTTCTTTCTACTTCTTTCCTAGGGGTATTACCATTAAACAAGTACGAAGGCACAGCTCAGGAAACACAAAGCCACTGCTTAAAGGGAGGAGTCCCAAAGGGCAGGGAATGGACATCTTCCATTGGACCACAACATGGAGATTGACACTGGGCACATAAGACTCTACAAGGAGCATGTTTGTCTAGAGCCATTGCCAAGATGTCCCAGCTGACATCTTGCTATGTTGCCCAGGCGGGTCTTGAACTCCTGACTTCCAGCAATCCTCCTATCACAGCCTCCCAATGCACTGAGATTGTAACCATGAGCCACCACACCTGGCCAGCAAGTGTCCTTTATAATTTACAAAGCCCTGGGTGGGGCCAGGCGTGGTGGCTCACGCCTGTAATCCCAGCACTTTGAGAGGCTGAAGTGAGTGTATCACCTGAAGTCAGGAGTTCGCGACCAGGCTGGCCAACATGGTGAAACCCTGTTTCTACCAAAAATACAAAAATTAGCCAGGCATGGCAGGATTAGGCGGACGCCTGTCATCCCAGCTACTTGGGAGGCTGAAGCACGAGGATTGCTTGAACCTGGGAGGCAGAGGTTGCAGTGAACCGAGATCGTGCCAATACACTCCAGCCTAAACGACAGAGCGAGTCTCTGTCTCAAAACAACAACAAAAACCTGGGTGGGGAATACCTATTATCTGTCCACCCATCATCTTCTGGGAGATCGTTCCCCTCCAGCCACACCATGTGCTTCCTGTAGGAGCAGCCATACTTTACAAGTCCTGTGACCTTAGCCATAGGTGGTTGGGCAAGAATTGGTCACATAAACACAGATGTCAGATGTCTTCCCTAAGGTTTTTGGGAGCAGAGCCAGTTCTCTCTGCTGGTGAAACAGGGGTTATGAAAGTTGGGAGTTGTCACCGGCTTTGGTCTCTGACTCATGGAAGAAGTCAGTCTCCAGAAAAAGGCAAAAACCTCC